GGCGCGGTGGGCCCCGCCTCCCGCCGCCGCTGGGCCGGTTTTAGTGTTGCTTCTTCCCTTGGGTGTGCTCCACTACTATTTTCAGCTGCATTTCCATATTTTAAAATACAACAGTTATTATCAGTGATTTAAAATGAACTAAACTACAAACCCAACAGGGGCGGGAGAGGCTGTAAGATCACTCAGGAGATTTGTGCCTCGGAAGCAGCAATGCTACGTCCTCAGCACCTTCTCCCGGGACTGGCACGCCCGGGCTCCCGATTAAAGACCAGAGGAGGAATTTCAGCGACAAGCACTGCAGCGCTCTAACACTGGCCGCTTCCCAGCGGAAGCTGGTGAGCCGAGCCAGGGCTAGTTCCGCGGGAGCTTGGGGTGGGGAGAAGTGTGGAAAAGTGAGTCAGATCCCCCCCCCGGGGCCTCTGCTGGACTGTGGGGGCAGGCAGGGCGTGGGGGATGGTCTCAGGAGGAGCCTGGGTCCTCGCCAGCACCGCGCTGGCTCCCATGACCTCCCAGGTGGGTCGGAACGTCAGTTCTCGAGGACAGACTGGGTTATCCTGCGCTGAAGAAGCAGTTGCTGCAATCAGACACTTGCTCGACTGACAGAATATTTCCTGGTTGAAAAAAAGTGAAATGTAATTTCACAGTTGACTATAACAATGAATTCTAAAGCGGCTATTTCAAGACTTTTTCTGATAAATGTGGGAATCTCACCCAACAGGCCCATAATAAAAATTGGTACCTTTGGGCTGAACACATAATTTTAAAGTCGTTGCATCCCGCAGGGCAGAAAAGGCCACTCTCAGCTCAGCCACAAAGAGAGTGTCCCGCATTTAAAATTTTTCAGAGGAGGAGATTTTCTATGTGCCCCAGGCATCAGGTTTAATGTTAAGTGATCCCCACTGCTAGAATCTTTCCCACTTTAAGGTTCACTTGCCCCCGTGAGACAGCCACACGGCGTGTCGGCCTCGGCGGAGCGACTCCGAACCCCGGCTCTTCGGGGCCAGCAGAAGGAGACATTTCCTTACGGTGACCAGAAAGCGCCTCACAAATAAAAAGCTGTGATTCTTGGTATTTTGGCTTTGTCACGCCTGACTTTTTCTACCGAGGAGTGACCTGATGGAAGCAGCAGTCACGACCTGCCTGGCAAGTATCGGCAAGCCACTTTTCATCCGGAAGACTGGTGGCGACGACGTGCTTTTGGCCGACAAGGCGGAGGTGCGCGGTACCGGGGTCTCCTCTATCAGGCATCCCCCGCCTGACAGCAAGCAGAGAAAAGCTCCGGAGCTGATCTCCACTGCAGGAGACGTCCTCCAGCGCCAGGCTCGCCCGGCCCCAGGCCAACGGCTTCGATCGCCTGGAGCCTCCTTCAGAGGCAGTGTGACCACGGCAGCAGGTTCCGGGAGGAAAAGCCGCGTGCTGAGGGCGTCCTGCTGACGTGTGCCCCGGGCAAGGACGCGCCCCCAGATCTGCTGGCACAGCCAGGAAGAGCAGGGGCGGGGAGGACGCGGCACAGGTGCGGGTGTGGGCGGCCCTGGCCCGGCCGCTCCGGACGTCCTCACGAGCCGCTTTCAGAACTCCGTGCCGGACACCCGCTGCACCCTTCACCGCCGGGAGGCTCGAGGGCGCGGGCCCCCGCACTCTGCCAGTCTGGCGATCATAACCCCTCGGCCACAGGTGAAGGAAGAACTCTTCTCTCCTGCTCTGGCGCAGGAGCTCACAGCGCAGGGCGGCGCCTCCTTCCTCGGCCCTGCATCTCTGCAAGGAGCCCGCGGCTTTCCGGAGCGCGCGCAGGTTTCACTGCTGGAACAGCACGCTGCGAAGACGCGACCCTGGCGTCCTCCAGGCCCCGCCTCTCGGGCTGCTCCGTCTGTCCTGGCGGCTCCACTCCGCGGGGAGGCGGAGGTCAGACTCCCGGCGAAGCGGACACTACCAGGGGCGCCCGATGCACAGCAGGCGATTCCGCTGTTTGTCAACGTCGTCCCGCCGCAGCACCGACGGGATTTAATGCCACTGCACGAACACAGCGGGCCCGGGGGCCGGCAGCAGACGCCCGCCAGCCCGAAGGGAGGGACAGCCGGTAACACGGACCAACCCTTCGGATGCAAAAGCAAAACGAATAAACCTTGACTCCCTGGGCCAAGAACTCATCACCGGGGGCGGGGGCGAGATCAACCCCTTCTACCTGGGGGTGCAGTCTTCTCCTGGGCCCACCGATCCAGACTCCAACTCCACCCGAAGACGTACCCCAGAGAAAGAAATAACCGGGTCTCCTGAACAATGCTGGTGTTGGCACGAACACACCCGCGCTTTGGGGAAACCGCAGCACGGGCAGCTAGCCGCTGGTGACGGGGTGAAGGGTCCCCCTAACACGCCTAACGGGGCCCCCAGACAGGGCCTTGGGTCGCTTCTTGCAATCCAATGGAAGATACATTCTGGCCTCCAATCGCTTTCATACTTAAAATGAAGTATAGGTGAAGTTAAGAACATGCTGTGGAAAATAATATTGTTTTGTTTCACAAAAAACTGTCAAACTCAGCAACCCTGACAGTGGGGTAACATGGTACACCATACCTTCTCATGTGACTCAGTGTAAATAGTGTCACCTATAGTCAGTCTCACCAAAACCGGTTCATACCACTGGGATCTAAATTTAACTTCCAGTTTAAAGGAAATACAGGAGGCTTAAAGGGGTTAAAGTCTCAGCACTGTGAAGCTGTCCGCAGCCACTGGAGCACGAGTTCGATCCCCGGCAGGGGGGTGAACCCCAGGGCACAGCAGGCCCCTCCTGACTCCCCGCGGCTCCCCTCGGCAGTGGGCTTCAGTAGATCTGCCTGGCCTGCCCCCCACTCCGTCTCGGGTCTCTCAGCCTCCACACTTCTGGCCTGCACACCAGTTCTTGTATGCATTAATAAATAAAAATAAATCTCCAAAAAAGAAAAAGGAAATACAGGGACTAAAGGAAGAAGTCATTAAGCGACACCGAGACAGACACAAAGTGTGGGCACCCCGCGAGGCACACACGGAGCTCTTCAGCGGCAGCCACGGAGGCGGTGAGGTGAGGGAGCGGCCCAGGAAGTCAGGCCACCCGCACTCAGGAGTGTCACCGCTCTTTCCCAGCTGTGGGGACGGGCTCGGCAGGCGCTCGCTGAGGCCGGAAGCTGCGCCGCGCCGTGTCTAGCCCAGGCTGCCACGTGGGTGCGGCGGCCCAGGAAGTCAGGCCACCCGCACTCAGGAG